GGGGGGGGGGGGGGGGGGGGGGGCTGGTTAAAGGGACCCTCGGAAAAAACCACAGCCAAAGAAATTCCCCCTTTCCATGGCCGGTGGAAACAGGAGCTGACCTGGGTCCACTTTTTCAGAAGCAGGTTTGTGAGCAAACAAGCCAGTTTAAGGAAGAGCCTCGGTCCAGCAACTGGGGGTGGGGGGGTGGGGCAAGAAACCCGAGAGCTGGGTTCGAGTTTTCTGCAGCCGCTCGCTTAGCCAAGGACCCACCTGGCAGCTGGTCAAGTGGCTCAATACGGCCGGTTGGCGTCTTTGGGGCGTTTTAACTGCACCTTCAACCGTTTCATCCCAATCTGGAAGCCGTTCATGGCCTGGATGGCGGCTTGCGCGCTGGCGGGATTGTCGAAACTTACGAATCCTGCAGAAGGGAGAGGGGAGGAGGGGAGAAAGAAGGGCCAGGGGCCCGCTGAGACCCCACAGAAGAGGAGAGCAGGGGCCCCACGCAGATCTCCCAAGACCAGACAGGAGGACCACGAAAAAAGAAGAAAGAAGAAGAAAGAAGAAGAAAGAAGAAGAAGAAGAAGAAGAAGAAGAAGAAGAAGAAGAAGAAGAAGAAGAAAGAAGAAGAAGAAGAAGAAGAAGAAGAAGAAAAGGAAAAAAAAAAAAAAAAAAAGATCGGAGAAGATCCAGCTTCCAAAGCAGCATTTCTCAACCCCACTTGGAAGACAAAGTTGGAGGGGACCTTGGAGGTCTTCTAGTCCAACCCCACCCTGTCCTGCTCAAACTCCCAGAATCTCCCAACCAGCACAGCCATTGCTAAGAATTCTGGGCCTAACTCCCACCAAGCCCTCTCCAGTTGAGGAGGTCCGCTTGGTGGCCGTCCTTTGGACCACGGGAGGAAAGACGGCCGAGGCCCCCGATGGAGACCTCCGTGGGGTCCATACCGAAGCATTTACTCTGATTGGTCGCTCGGTCGACAAAAACTTTGGCCGAAATGACGTTCCCAAAGGGGAGGAACATCTGTAAGATCTCCGAGTCGGTGAACTCCTGCGGCAAGTGATAAATGAAGATGTTGCACCCTTCAGGACCTGTCAAAGAAAAAAAAACCAACCAAATTGTCAGGAAGGAGGAGGAGAAACAGACCGGCAACACGCCAGGTTGACGGTTGCAAAATGTCCTCAGCTCAAAAACCAAGGACGCAAGGAGCATTTCGCAACCCGGTTACGAAAGATTTCTTGACCTTTTTTTTCTCCACCTCTTGTTTCTTCACCGGGGCCCTAAAAGGCCAGCTGTAACTAGGTTAGAAGAAAATCAAATAAACCAGCTTTTGGCTTCTGCTTTTTTTGCTGCAAAAAAATGAGAGAGGAAGCCGGCCTTGGGAGTTGAGACTCAGCTGTGCAAAAACTTAATTTTCCAAATTTTGGTGTTGGTGTAAGAGGTGAAAAAGCAGCAGAGAAGTTGGAGATTTGGGTCTCCTGCTTGGGCTGGGGGTTGGACTAGATGACCCACAAGGTCCTTTCCAGCTCTGTCATTCTAATTAAAACGGCTTCTAATAAAATGTGCTATCTGGCACAAACCCTTGAATGTGGCAGAAAAAGCGAGCCCTGCTAGTAGTTTTTTACTACTGCTATTAAGTCTACACCTCTTTTTACAACAGTTTGAAAGAAAACCACGCAGAACCCCAGGAGGGATCGATCCTGGGCGATAAAAACCACGGAGCAAATTATTTTAAACCTTCCATTAGAGAAGTTTCTCAACCTTAGCAACTTGAAGTAGTGGTGGACTTCCAACTCCCAGAATCCCCTCGCCATAACGTTGACTGGGGAATTCTGGGCACTGAAATCCACACCGTTCCAAGTGGCTAAGGTTGAGCATTATTAAATCTAATAAGAAATCGGCATTCAGCCCACCCTCTCTGGAAAAATCCAGATCTCCACCAGGGGGCAGCAAAAGCTCCCCTTTGGGCACCCTCTGGTGGGTTCCCAAGGATATTGCAGCCCCAACACGATCCCCCCCTGCTTCTCTTGTTGGTTGCCGCTGGAGTTTTGCAGCCGGGATGACCCCCGGCTTGATCTGGGGTGGGGATGGGGGGGCTCTCGGGACCCCAACCTTACCTTCTCTCTGCTGTGGGGGAGCCTGCTGGGTTATGATGGCGGGCTGTTGGGGAAAGGCAGTGCTGACCAGTCCGTAGGCTGTAGGGTAGGCAGCTGTGGGGGGAAGGATTAGAGGGAGGGGCTCAGCTTTTGAAGGGGAAGGGGTCTTCAGAAGCAAGCTCTGTGTGTGTGTGTGTGTGTGTGTATACCTGTCCTTACCTGTGTAATGTTGCATCCCGGCGTAGGCCTGTTGCAAGGGGTCAAGGGGCGTGGCTGAGCTCTGCGCTGTGGCATTGGGGGTGGGGGGGTGGGGAGATGGGAAAACAACACACACTTGTGAGAGTTGCCGGGGTGTCAACAACGGCCAAGCATCCCTCTTCC